TTCTGCATTGGGTAGGGTTAAAGCCCAGATAGTTAAAAATCCATGAACTCTACACATGACAGACCTCTACAGTAATCCAACTTTCTCCTTGTAAAACATACATAAGCTTTCTTTGTATACCATCTCAAGATCTAATAACCCTCTTTTCCGAGAAAATTCCCCCCTTCTTAAACCCAAAATTCAAGTGATATTTCTCAGCCCACTTCCTCAGGTAGAGGGAGATTATAGTTAGTTACCAGAATCTGTGCACAAGTACACACACACAAACACACACAAACACACACATCTTTGTACATATTAGAGTTTACCTCTCCGAGTCTGTTTCCTCAGCTTGAAATGAAATCATTATACTGTAACGATCTCTTCCAACTTTAAAATTCTGTGGGTTTTCTGTCGTAGGTAAATAATACTAAGAAACGTTCCCTTTTCTATTAGCTGACTTACTTAGACTTTGAAACACCACCATTGTATTAATGTTACTGTGGCCCAGGAATAAACTTTGAAACCTTTCTTCAGAGAGTGCAGTGGACATACCATTTAGATCCCCAAATCAAAGAGAAATGTTTTTATTTAATAAAAAGTGGTGAATCCTCTGAAATCTATATACCCCTGGGCAAATAGTAAGTTGTGACCAACATTGTCTTTCATCTCACATCTATATAATGAAATTAAGCATATCTAATATATATTTTTTGAAATTACTGAATAAGTTTATTTCTCCTATTCTTGGTTTCTAAATCTAGCGAGTGTAAAATTCTACTTTTTTTTGATCTTCAAGGGTTTTGTTTTTCTTGTGGGTCAGGAGGAATGTTTCACAGTCTCTTCAATTTAGTAATAGCAGTGCACTGTCCGACACGTTGCTATTAAATAATTAAGTACCAAACACATACATTTTAGGATCCTTGAAACAAGTGTGATAAAACTATGAAAGAAATCTTCTAACATAAATCAACTGTAATGGATAAACATAGGGGATGCAATACAAAAGGTAATAATAGAATATGAAATTATTAGAAATGTTGGCCAATTACCTGAAACTCATAAATGAAACACATAAATTATTGCTTTGCATTATTTCCCACTTGGTTTCAGAAAGAAAATGAGGCACAGCAGATGGAAGATTAGGAGCACAGAGTCTGAGGATTAGAAAACCATTTCCATTGTTCTGTCCCCAAACTGGACACATACAAAAAGGTTTTCTTATCTCCTAATCAGATAGTCTTTTTCTCCATAAGTTTAATGTTTTAAATGAGCAGAACAGATATAAGACAAGCATATTACCATGTGATTTTTTTGGAAAGAGCTAGACTTA